CCCTTGGAAAAATCAGAATGTTTCTGATGTATTTTAGCCATGTACACATTTTTTTTTTATAAAGCTCTTGTATCCATGAATTTGTGGTAGTTCTCCAAATTATATCTTTTTTTTACCAAGTAAATTTAAAGTTCATTAAATTGCCTCAGATTTGATGGAGGACTGAGCTCTGAAACGTGATTGTTTGAAGTGAGGCATAGATTAGCAAAATGATTTCCTTTTCTCTACGCATGGAAAAGATTATGCCACATTTAGCGAGGACCTACTGGAATTCTTGACTGCAGTTAAATCATGTTAGTATTTTCCTTCGGGTAGAGGCAGAGTGGTTGAGTCTGGTGAGTGATTCCATATAGGTGAAAACTTGGCGAGGAGCCTTATAACCTCAGGCTGTGAATCTGAGCTGAGCCATAATTTCCACACATCCCTCCGCATCTCTTAGAATACATATGGGGGACTAAGTTTTAAAGAGGTAGTGGAATTATTTCTATTTACTCAAGAACCGAACAGAGCTATTAGAAAGAAATCTTCAGGTCTTCTGCGGGATGAAAATAATTCTTCCACTGCTGCAAGACAGTGATGGAAGTTTTGTGAGCCAAGAGGAAGGCAGCTGAAAAGGACAAGAAAAATCATTATGAGTGTTTTTCCACTGCTTCAAGTCATTAAAATTGGCTAAAAATATTGAGAGTGATTTTTCATTGAAATGGCTCCTCCTACTATAACCTGTCAACATAGTGGTTCCTTTTCTTTCTTGATTTTTAAGTGTTACACTGAAGCAAGGTAAGTTTATTCAGAATTGCGACAGTGCCGACGTTTCTAGAAGCATTCATGCTCTCGGGTGTTCCTTTCTCTGGTGGTAGAACTTAAAAGAGAAGTTTTTTTTTTTTTAAGTTCAAACAAATAAATACTTAATGAGCATAGGGTTTTTTTTTTAAGACAAATTTTTAGAGCAGTTTAAAGTTTACAATAAAATTGAGAGGGAGGTACAGAGATTGGCTTGGATATCCGCACACATGAATAGCCTCCTCGTTATCAGCATCACTCGCCAGTATGATACTTTTTTTTTTGCTAACGATGAGCCTACACTGACACATCATAATCATCCAAGTCTGTAGTTCACCTAAGGGTTCACTCTTGGTGTCGTATATTCAGTGGATTTAGACAAATGTGCACGATTGGTTCTTAGTAGTGGAAATAGTAAGTCAACAAGAAGGTATACTTTTTATTTGATAATTATTAGCAAATTTCTCTCCAAAAAGGCTGCCCCAATTTTGACTCCCCACTAAAGGCATCTGAGAGTGCTCAATACTCCAAGCCCTGACCAGGGCTGGGTATTTTAAAAGTTTCAATTTGGCGGCCCTCTGAGAGGTAAGATCATCTATTATACTGGCAAATCATTAGTACAGGATTTAAACCTAAAAATCCGGGGCAGTTTCCAGGAGCCTCATTCATGAAGTGCTATCTATATTTGAATACCGTGACCTACCTTCTTCCTTCACTTGGCCTGCCCTTCTTTCCACTGTTTAATTGCCAGGTGAAAACACCCTCCTCCTGCTCCCCTCCATGTCCCTCCAGGCTTTTGCGGAGTCCTGTTTTGTAGCCCAAAGTAGAACAAACAAGGGATGAGCTTGTCATCACAGTCCCTTATTGCCAGAGGAACTTCTCTAGGCCAGTCCTGTCTCAAATCGGCAGAGACTGCAATGCTCAAATTGGAGTGTGTATAAAAGCCAGAGCATTGTGAAAAAGATTTGTGGGGTCTCCTCAGTAGGGTCTCATCCTGTAGATCTAAGATGGAGCTAGAATGTTTGTATTCAATAACACCATAGGTGATGCAGGCAGCCCCAAATTAGACTACTATAGGAGATGGCCAGCTTTTACCCAACCAGATTCAGGCTCTCTGAAGATGTCTTTATAGTCATGAGTGACAAGTAGGTCCCCGGTAATTGGGCTCCCCCAGTTACTGTGTACTCTCTGCCTTTAGGCTGTAATGAGACTTTGGGAGGGGCAGCTAAAAAGCCAATACCTGATGGCAGTTAAGAAAGGATTTTATTGACGTGGTGATCACTCAGTCACCTGAAAACAACTCCACTGAAGCGCCTTGGTGTGGCCGCATCACGTGCCCTTCCAACTGCTCTCTGCACTTCATATCACCTGGACCTCTGTCACCTCAACGGAATTGGCAAAACTCTCAGGGGCAGCACTGTAATTGCGGTATGTAATTGTGGCTTGTGAGGGGGAGGAGGCAACGGGGGCACCCAGAAGTAGCTCTTGTTTGTCTCGGAGTTTTTTAGCTCTCTCATCAAGTTTGTAGATGTTGCTATTAATTGGTTCAGCTGGCCTGGCTCTGCTGGCTTCTGATTCCTTTTGCTGGCTTGATCTGCACTTAGCATGGTTCCCAGCTCATGCATGTAGTCAATACGTGTTTATTGAAGGTTCATACGTGCCTGCAACAAACTTCTTTGGAGAGTCTGCCTCTGGGCAGGCATTTGGGTCCTAGGGTATGAAGGCAAACAAGGTGGACCTGGTCCTTGCCCCAGGAGGGTTCACATTCTAATTGTCAAGTCCACTGCAAACTGTAGTTCTATCAAGTGCTACAAAGAAGAACGTACAAGCTATAGTGGGAATGAGTAGTCTAACTGGGGGATCAAGTTCAGAAAAGTGTTCCTTTGGAGCATCCAAGACCAAGAAGAACTGAAGTGATGAATCTTTTTGGTCAATATTATCATCTGTTTCGGGGTACTTTAAGTCGTTCTAATGGAGAGCTTTCCAGGACTGATGGATTTGTCTTCTAGAGTCAATGTATAATGTATAGGGCTTCTTACTATGGCTCCCTGGTTCATTCTTAAAGACAAGTAGATGTCTTTTGCCTCTTTTTGCCCAGTATCCAGGCATGTGCTAAGTTCCCTGTGATCTTTCCAATATCAGAGCTAATTCTAGGCCCCAGACATGGCTTCCGGCCAGAGCAGTCATGTGACCAGCTCCTGATGTGCTCCGGGAAGCACAATGACTACTCTCTGGAATGCTGATCAGACTTCTGTGAGCAGTGTGCTTTGTAGACAGATGACCCCATGGATGGGTGGCTGGTGGACAGCTTGAACATCCTTATGCAGTTGTCTTTTGGATATCTCTTCATCACCATATATAGGGACATCTGCCATTGGGATTCTGTGAAATAAATTAACTTATTATGATTTGATCAGTCTGCACAGGTGACCTGGATACTCTGGTTTTATTTGCTCCTACTATGCAAATGAGTAGTTTCTGATACCTATTAAAGTAATCCAAAAAAAAGTATGTGCTGTGGACACAGTGACATAATTAAGACTGCTCTCTGATCTGCTGGGAGAAAGCTTTTAATGTACTTATCACTGGTACCATTGTAAGCACGTGAGTCTGGAAGTGGTTGTGGAGTTGCTAAGTGAAACCTCTCTGAGCTAATTTCATAGAGAATCTGAAACTCCAGCAGTACTCAAATTTGAGAATGCATAAACATTAGAGTGTTTGTAAGGGATTGATGCCCTCTGGCATCATAAGATGAAATATTAAGAAGCAATGGTTTATGCTTATCAAAATCTGGTGATACCTATTTGCTTTTCTGAGGAGTGGCCTCAGACTGCCTTAGAATTCCTGAAGTGATTCAGTGATTGTTCAGGTCAACTTGACATAACTGATTAAAGACCTAAACTGTTTCAGGGACATTGTGCTGGATGCTGGGAGGTGATAAGAATGAATAAAGTAAGGTTTCCACCCTCAATATTTCATTAACCCCAGGGAATTTGTGGTATAGAAATCACAGTGCAGTTGACCAATATCAAGATAGTTTACTGTGAAGGGTGGGAAGGGATAGACTGGGATTTCAAAACTGTAGAATAGATAAACAAGATTACACTGTATAGCACAGGGAAATATACACAAAATGTTATGATAAATCACAGAGAAAAAAAATGTGACAATGAGTGTGTATATGTCCATGAATGACTGAAAAATTGTGCTGAACACTGGAATTTGACACAACATTGTAAAATGATTATAAATCAATAAAAAATGTTAAAAAAAAGATAGTTTACTGTAATACCCCTTGTGACATAGGACAAGGTGGAGTAGGTGTGGCTAGTGACAAGGGGGTGAATAACACAGTAACGTCAGCCTTGATGGAGTGACCAGAGAGCACCTCATTTTACATCTTTCCTAAAATTTTCACATCTAATATAACAGAGCAGTTCCAAACTAAATGAAATCTCTCTGGAAATTATCTTATTGGTCTACTGTTCACTTTTCAACATTTAGTGCAGTTGTTGCCTCTCTTGTGTGGCCACCCTGCCTGCCCTCCCACTTTGGTTCACACTGTGCCCTCTATCTTCCCACAGCTGAGATGGCTCAAAGCAAAGAATACTGCCTTCTGAGAATCAGAACTTTTGAGTATTAGAAAACAACTAAAAAATCAATCAACTAAAAAAAAAAAATTCTCTGCATAGCCCATTTGGATCCAGTCAGCTATTACACTCATTCCCTTAAAAACAGGAATGTACTTTTTGCACCATGGAAAGGTGGGTGGGGGAGGGGAACAGGAAGCAGGCATCTGGGTCTTAAATAGGCTGTCCTGGCAGGAGTTTTACCACTGGAGGTGGCTGACACAGAGTCGGTCTGTGCTGAAGCCCCATGCTGAAGTGGAATTAGGGTGACTTCTTGCAGGGAAGGAGACAGAGTAGCCTCAACCTGTACTCCTACAAGTGTCCAAACCATTGCTCTGGCTGAACCATATAGCTCTTGACCAACTTATCCCAGGAGGCTGTCGCCGGTACTCCTGCAGATGCCCAAACACAGCCTTGTGCGGAAGGGAGGAAGGCAGGAGGGGCGATTGAGCTCCTCCTCTGAGGAGTTGAATGGAGTTTGGATGTTGGGATGGAGAAAGATGGAAAGTAGTTCCAAGTGCCTTTTTGGTGCACTTGGAGAGTTAATAAATGGTTCTGTGATTTGAGCTGAGCCTGCCTGGGAATTCAAGTTCCTACTCCCTACACTACACAGCCGGCTAGCGTTTGGGGGCTTCTCTGCCTAGGAACCATCATGATCATTCAGTGTCAGGTAGTGTGGCTGCTTACATTTTCTGGTTTTAATGAATGAGTATCATAGTTTCTCAAGATGACTTTTCCTGTTTTAGAATCTGTATTTCATAAAGGGAGTTTGATGTAATGTAGAGGGTGTGGGCTTTGGGGTCAAGTGGACTCCGAAGTGGAATTTGTCTTCGAATCCTGGCTAGGGCATCTGGTAGAGCTATGACTCTGGGGCAAGTTACTGAAACTCCCTGAGCCTTAGTTTCCTCGTCTATCGGGTTGTGAGGAAAATGTTCACCTCGTAGGATATAGTGATTAGCAGTGATGTATATAAGGCATTTAACATAATATCTGGCCAAGAGTAGGCACTGGATAAATTACTACATCTTTCATTTCCTTGAATCTGCCAGCAGGGCTTTGGTATAATCCTCTATAGTCATGGTTGGGGCTCAGCTATCTAAACTGAGTTACGGATGTGGCAAAGAATACCTTTCTCTGCTTTCCACGATCCTCTGGGTGAGCCTGGGCAGAATGGATTTCAGAAGTTGCTCTCTTTAGAATCTCCCAAACAGGGCTGCAGTTGGTTGCCTTAGAGGTAGAGAATCTCTCTAAGGCTGTGGTTCTGCCTGTGAAATGTCAGTCTCCAAATTGTGCCTGAGGATGGTGAAAAGACTTCCTTCCGTAACTGTGCAAGCTGGTCAGATGTCTTGGCACCAGATGAAGCAGAGTTTTATGGGAGCTCACTACTATACATGTTTTGGCTGTAGAGATGAGAACTCTAGACGTTTTTGTTCAGGATTTTCTATTTTGTTTTTGGAAAAACAGGCAGAAAAGTTCTTGGAGTCTGAGTGGCAGCAAGCACACTGCTTGTCTACCCCTGAGATGTTATTTCATGTGCGAGATGGCCCCAATTCCAGAGTAAAGGGCACACCCAGTTGCCTACAAACTATACTTGATGCTGAACTCATGCTGGCTGCTTGATGTCTTTATTCATTTCACCACCTTGGTATGATTACAAAGGGGCCAGATGCTGCAGGGGAGGCAGAGGTGACCTCAGGCTCCTCACCTGTGTACCCAACTTCTGTGGGAGGGTACAAGGGACATACACCCCAAGTGTGGAAAGAACTACTCTACAAAGTACTGGATGTCTTAGGAGGTGTAACAGCCAAGTGCCTTGGAGATTCCAAGGAAGGCAATGCTAAATCCAGGGATGGAGAGTTGGGACATTTTTAGAGAGGAAAACTCCTTCCTTGTAGTTAGAAGATCACGTGTTGGGTAGCAGTAAACCAGGTAAGAGGCAAGTAGGTCTTAAATAAAACCATACTCTGTTATTGAAAAAGAGCATTGGACTAATATGACTCTCAATCACTTTAACATATAAGAACAGAAAAGGGAACCACTAGTGAACTAGGGCTCCCCGAGACACACACTGCAGACTCTTCCAGGAGACAAAAATGGGATTTTTTTTTAGTGCAAGAGATTACAGCTTATTTATTGAAGCTTAAATACATAAATCTAAATAGACCAAGTGCACAGATTTCTGAAGGCCAGTATCTCTCTGGAGAGTAAGTGAATGTTTTTCTAGAGATGTTACCAGTGTTACCAGTGTCAAGGATCCATAAATCCACCATTCTGTGTTTAGTTCATAACACCTTCAATCCTAAAATAAAGCAAGCCTGGTTTTATGACATATTGATAGGGTCTTAACTGGCTTAAAAAAAACAAAAACCTTTTTTTTCTTTAAGAAAAAGAAGACCTACCTTTTCTTTCTCAAAACATTGGTGGCAGAAACATGGACAGACATACCAAATTAAAGGGGGACCCACGCCCCCATTTTATCTGAGTTTTATTGTGGGCTTGGAGTGGCCTTTGTATTTCTCCTCAGGGCTTTGAGTTCTTCTGGCAGGGCTGGAATTTTATAATTGAAATTTTTTCCATCTGACTTTGGCCCTTCGAGTAAATACTGTATAAGCTTTTCATTTTAAATCATGCTGAGTTTGAAGGGTGTCAAAGCAGATATGCAGTTCCTGTCTCCAACAGGAGCCTCCCCCGCAAGCAACCTCAGCTGCTTCTGGTCTTGATCTGCATGGATGGAGATAGACAAAAAAGGGATTTTGTGACTGTGCCATTCAGTGCCTTTTCATGCTGCCCCAATTACTC